TTCATCCAAAGTAGTTTTTATTCTTTAGTTCTGCAGTATTGGAAGAGAATGGTTGAAAACACATTGGAAAACCTTGCAAAGCCCGAATATGAACTTGAGGCCAGCCAGAGTTTGCCAGTGGCTGATGTTAATTTCAGGCCCTGAAAGCCCCCTTTTTCATCTGCATTCAATTCTTCAGCATTCTTTTTCTCCACAAACAAAGAGCAGGTCAATGAATGCATGAGCAGCTTGTACAGTATAGGTGGTGTAGGTTCACAGGTCATATTGTCTTTGCCTTGTTGTCATTGTACCAGCCACCTGTACTAGCAAACCTGCATCTGAGATAGAAGGCAGCCAGTGCCAGGGACTTTCCACAACCTAGTGTGTGTGTGTGTGTGTGTGTGTGTGTGTATTTTGACAGTCAAGTGCATTCTGCATTTGGGTGTGTAAAGGGCACGATGTGCAGACAGACAGAATGAGCATGGTGTGAACTGCAACAAGTGTGAGAAGATATGCAGTGGAGCTTTTGCAGTAATGTAACAGAGATCCTAATCAAACATATAGGGTGTTTTCTATTCGTGTAAAAATAAATACATCTGAGTGAGTTTGAGGGAAAGTAAAAGTAGAGTGAGTGTATTTGAAGACCTCGATACTGTGTAGCTTGCAAACTGTGCATGCAATACGATTTTAATGCAACCAAGGATGCTAATGTTTCACTGAGGAGATGTATAAGCATATCAAAAACTCTAAAAATATCACACTATTGTCATGTAGCATGCAAACCTGAAGAAAAGGAACTTGATGCTCCACAGCAAAGCAATCCAAAAAATACCATCTGACATATTCTACTCCACTTGTGTGGATGTGGTAATAAAACAGTGTCTTATCACAAAAATGTCAATGCCTGTCATTCCAGAGTGACAGTTTTGGCCCTAGAGTCTTTTTCTCATTGTAAACAGACTCTCTGTGTTTTTAAGCTGTAGCAAACGAAGGAAGCAAAGGCTAAGAGGGTGAGACAGGAGACCAAACAGTGCTTGGAAATCCCCTTCCCTCAGTAGGCCTGCCTCGTCTTAGACACACAGGGCCCCGTTGAGGCCCACATCAAAGAGGCTGCTGCTGTTCTCATCAACCTCCCTCCTTCTGTCTTTCTGTATGTCTCACTGTCCTTCCGTGTCTTTACCCCTCACCTCTGTCTCTGTTTCCATTTATATACATACGTCTCTTGTACCTCTGAGGAGCAGCTGTGCTGATGTTTTAAAAAGTGTCTACATCTCGATGTAATGAGACTGTAGAGGTGTAATATGCCACTAACCTGCCTGTCCCTTATGTAAAGCTGCATGTGTGACCTGACAATAATACAGTTGATGTATCACATGTATCACATTTGGCAGTGAGGTGTGGTGTGCATACATTTTTAGGACTTGTGGTTAGACTCATGTCCGACCTCTGAGTAAATCAGAAGTGAAAATGCTTGCTAGACTGGTCTCCCCAGAACACTAAATACTTTCTACCTCCACCCCCACCACTCAAAGCCCACAAAAATGTCAGCTATGTTTGAAGCAGTAGATAACTGGAGGCTGGCGTGTGGACACACAGGTGGGGGATTGGCACACGAAAAGCTGAAGCACAGTTTGGAACGGACCCTTATGATCATATGCGGTGTGTGCATGTGCAAGCATTCATGGCTGCACCAGTAAGCACTAAGTCACAAGGATTGGCATTGTGAATTCTCAACTCTGGATTTTCCCTCTTAATCACTGATTGCCTGATGACTACCGTGTGTCTCATGTCTCCCAGAGGGAAGCTGCTCAGATGTTTAGTGCCAGTTTCCTCTCTTCCACACAGACTGTTGGTTATACAGACCAATGATAGACAGTCAAAACTGCTTTTTAACAGAATCTAAATTTAAAGTTGGAATCTGCTTGCCAACAAATATTATTTTGCTATTTTATCAGTATAATTTTTAACACAATGTGCTTTCCATTCACACTGCCAATTACAATTTCAATGCAATTTGTAATTTTTTTCCTGAAATCAACTCACTTCAAAATGTGTTTTTTACATACAGTGTTTGAACTCGAATAGTGCTACTGGCCCATGGTAACCCCAGATAGTCTCTCCTGTTAAATGCAGTACTACCCTCTAGTGGAGAGACTAGGGACAGCAGAATGTTGCCTGTTACCTAACTCTGCAGAGTAACTTAATAAAAGAAGAAAACAATCACTCCCTCACTCATCATCAACAAAAACATTATGTGCTAGCTAAAATAAATGTCTAGATAGTCTGATAAAAATATAAATTCCTGCTTGTACAGACTGAACAGTAGCGTATCTGTAAATGCGTAGGTACTATATGGGTACATTTGGGGCACAAGCAGCCCTTCCATTTTTCTACACCTACTAATTACAAAGTTAATCATGCTTCAAACCCTTTCCTCTTTTGTAAATAATTTACCCTGCATACGTGTATTGACACAGCCAATTATTTTTGGGCTGACACAGCTGAAATCAACATAAAATGGCTGCTCAGATTTGGGTTAGATTTGGTCCATGATACAGAGCTGGCAGGCAGTAAATGCTTGGGGCATCAGTTTACTTATACAGCCTAGAGAGAGAGGGAGGGAGACCGAGAGAGAAAAACAAAAAAACACTGTAGTGATGGAGTGCAAATTGTAGAACGTGTTAACTGAGCCACACTCAGACCACTCCATGCTACAAAAGACAAAAATAACTTGATGGGCCTATGACTGATTCTCACCAATATGTCAAACAAAACCATTTATGAAGATGTGTAAATAAATATCTGTAGCCACCAATTAATTTGGCCTAATGGTATGCCTAATTGATCTTCTGTGTTTCTGTATGAGCTGTTCCACACACAGATTTAGACACATTTTATACAGAAATCATTAATGTAGCAGTTGACTTTTTTACTTACTTTTTACTTCTTTTTTTTTTTTTTTTTTTTTTTTTTTTTTTTTTACAGATGAACAACCTTAGCTCAAGAAATGGTCAGTTTACCTTACCTATTGATAAATACTTTAACAATAACCAAAGTATTCAATCCAACCAAATGTCATCAGTGTTAACAGAGACATTCATTTTATGAGATTTTGTGAACAACTCTTGAAGAATCCACAATTTATGCGTATCAGAAAGAAAAACCCCACTGGAGGTTTTAAGTGTGTTCTTGACTGACTAAAAACCATTTAAATATTTAATAAAGATAAAAACAGCCAGGATCTTTTTGAAGGATCCAAGTCTTTTTTTAATTCTAACACATTTGTAAGACCACTGACTCACGTCTCAATTGATACTGAGCAACTACTAGCAAAAAATGTACCTGTGATATGTCAGACAGGAAACAAAATCTGCCATGATTTTGTGGTTTTGAATGATGTATACCAGCGTAACAAATGATCTGCAGAGTTTCATGCCTCTGCGTACTCGGATGTGCAGGCTGTCAGTGTGCGGTACTGCCTGTCTCTCTGGATGGTGTGTGAGGCTGCCGTGTGTGTGTGGCCTGTCTGTGGCATGGATCACTATGTGACTATTAGAGATGAGCTGTCTCATCATGGCACCGCCATAATGATGGGGTACAACATGTTAGCGGCATCATCCACCAACACCAGCTATTTTGCTTTCATCATTTATTTGCGAGTTTGCATAATTTGAAAGATACAAAGTGTCCAAATATATAATTACCCAGACTGTATAAATGACCGGCAGGCCAGACACTGCATGCTTTCTTAATTATGCTAAAAGGGAAACTTAGCATTCCTGTCACCGTTCTGAGGAATGATTGTCAACATTTTCAGTATAACTAAATTTTCATTAACTACTAAAATACTGGCAAATAGTTTTTTTAAATAATACAAAAAACCCTTTGTGGTAGAGTGTGAGTGAGTTTTAGTCTTGTAGAAAACAAGAAAACAATAATTTGGGACAACAAACTAAATTACTTGCCAAATTCTGGTAATCAGGAACAAACACAAAACCGGACAGTTTCTTTGCTGTGAGCAATAACTTCCTAGAGTCTATGTTGGTTGCCTTTGTAATGGTTCCTGTCTTAAAAATAGTATGCATTTACTCATCTGAAAACAGCAGAAACTTGTTTTTACATAAAAAAAACAAGATACTGTTAATTAATGAGGTGGGCGGAGGTGGAATTGAGTCAGGCTAGCTTTGTATTGACTATCCTGATTAGAGCTTGGAACTCGCAGCAAGTAGGCGAATGAGCATATTTCCCAAGATGTGACTATTCCTTTAAAACTGAAAAGAATTCTGCAATGCAACGACATCATTTAAATCTGTTTTCAACACAAACAACTTTTTACAGTACTGATTTTTCTAGAGTCTCGTGCAGCAATCTGCCAAATTTCTTTTTCTTTTCCCATTTGATATTTATTTTACCAGGCAAGTCAATTGAGAACAGATTCTTGAGAGCACTTGACAGATTTATAATTTGTTGAAAGAAATGACTTATAATCAGTTTTTTGCAGTATACAAACCTTTTACACAACCAACGTCACAATACAATGCAAGCATTGTAGGGAGATGTGTTCTATGAAAGAAAAAAACTATTCATCATTGCCAGTGTCTCTGATTCTGATAAGCAATCCACTATCAAACCTACCAGCTACTTCTTTGTATGTTGTGTGGCATGTTTGACTGTTGGGTATGTAGTTCTGGACCACAGTAACCCACTCTGACCTGAGAATGGACACATTGTGCCGCGAGTGGACGGGGTCTCTGACCTCAGAGCAGCCTGCGTCCAGAACAACACTGGCTCTTTGTTACCAGTGACAAAGACGATCCCTGACATCACTCACACTGCAGCACCACTAAGAGTCATCCCACGAGCAGACAAGACGGCAGAACTGCCAACATTGATTCAGGGAAATAATCAAGATTTGCCATCTGGAACAGTTCAACGTGTTAGGGTTAGGGCTAACCTATTTCGAAAAGTTGATAAAACTGACCGTAAAATAATATTTTGACAAAGGGACAAAGAGACATGTATAAAAGTCAGACAATAACTCTGATTTTATTAACAGTTCATTAGTGTTTACTTACTAAATCAATAGAAAAAATTGTTAAATTAAGTGCTTCATCTGTTCAGTAAAATAAACACATAATATCAACAGTTAAAAATGTAGGTTTGCATATCTTTGTACAGATAGTGTACAAATGCTCCCTGCCATTATCAAAGGTATGTACCCCACATCTACTATGCTGTAGTAGATAAGGCAGATAATACGAGCAACATAGAACACAGAAACCCGTTTCTAGTGTTTTTTTAAAACAAAATGTCAGTCAGTCTTGTGGTCAAAGGATGATTTGATAACCAAGGCTAAATCTGCTAAGTGCCTCCACACAGACTGTGAAGTGCAATACAAGCTTAATACGCATTAATACAAAAGCACAGGAGGCAAATAAACAGGTGAGGGGGTGTTAAAATGGCCAGCTCGTTGGTGCAGCCAGGTGTATCAAGAATGCACCTGTTTGGCCAGATCTGGACAAAACCGCTGTTGTATATGCATCAATTATTTGAAAAACTCGCTCAATTAAAAGCAATTTTACATCTTCAAACACTTGAGATCAGACAGTTTATTCGTCCCAGATCTGTCACTGGCATGGCTGTATTGGTGATTTAGGCACAGTGTCCGGTCCATCAGAGGCACGGGAGAGCAACATTTAACCTCCGCTCCACAGCAAACTTTCAAATTTGGGAGGCTGCAGTAGCAACTGACAAAATGAGAAGCTAACAATATGAGAAAAACTATGGTTTAGCAGAAAAATTGGCACATAATGTTCCATGTTATGTTCTGACTCACACTGCATGCTTTGTCATAACTCACTTCTAATTTGACATATTTTAATGTCTCAAAAGATCCAATTCTGTTGCTCCATTATCCAGCTGTGACTTTTATCAGTTGCTACACTGTTGCAAAGGGACACTTAGTAGTCAGAGGAGCAGCTCCTCCGCTACTATCCTTGCCAAACAACCACAATACAGCAGCACTGCCCATCTAAAGCTGTGTCATACACAAACCAAACGGTGCTTGGTGAAACAAGACAATGTTCCTTCTGGAAACAATCAAACAGACATTTAAAGCACAGGTGTCCACTTCAATGGATGGTTAGGTTGCAGTGACAATAGCAGGGACTCTGATGGTGCTCGAGGGTGCCTGGCTTTCATTCTCAATCTGATAGGACACGTCAGGCTGAGCCGCGGCCACCTCTGGCTGGTCTGCCATGGTGATCGGTTCATCCACATCTTCCTGAGACCGTAGCTGGTCAAAGGATCGTTCTGCTTCTTCTGACAGGCAGTTTTCCTCTTTCTCTTCCTCCCTCTGTCACACATACACCGGAGGGAATTACATAAGCTGAGGGAACCAAATACACAATCACAATAACTACACAACCTCAGTGAAACATACCTCTTTCTTCATCCTGTAGTATTCATCTATAGCGTACTGATATTTGGCGGATGTTATCCCGAACAGGGAGGCCATCCTCTCCCCAAGGTAGTCACAGGCTGGAAAAGAATAAGGAGCAATTCAATCCTGAGATAATAAAATACAAATCTGCATTAATTCTCCCCAACAAATGAGTCTGAGCGTTGATGTTAAACTACAAAACGTGTGTAAAAATGTTCATAAACTAGGGGTCTGTATCACAAAGCAAATTCAACTTAGGTCTGGCTGTTTCTGAGCTAACTGGCATCCCCTGAGGCTAACAGTGGTGATCCTGGATAACACGCACCACGGCGCTGGTTATGAACTGGCTCAGTTAACTCTGAGTGGATCTCTCATTTACAAGCCAATCACATGCAACGTCATCCGAGCCATGAGCGGAGAACTTCATATCAAACGGGATGAAACGGTGATGATACTCGTGGGGAATCACGATCAAACCATTAAAAATTAGGTTAGGGCTATAACAAATTGCGGGACCTCTTATATAGGGGTGGCGATGGTTCAGTGGATCAGTGAGCCACCCAGGTTCGATTCCCACTGTGACTAGTTGCCCCAGAGGTGTGCGACTTCTGACTTATATAAATCAAAAGCAAACATAGGCTAGGGTCGGCGCAGGAGAATGGAAAATAAAGTGAGAACACATTTATTTTACATAGCGACATTTTGTTTAGTTTTTTTAATCTCACGATGAGTAAACTAACATGAATATGTGACACACTTAAAAATCAAGTAATGGTCTTTCATCAGAGAGGAAAATACTGAGGTAAATAGCCTTGACTAAAATGTTGCATTTATAACATGCTGAGCTGTTTATCAGTGTACACAAAAGTGTGTGCAATTGGCAGCCTTTTTATTTTGTTTGTGGACTAGCTGAAAATACCCCTTGACTCTGAGTCATGGGTATTATTCATCATTATTGTTATTTGTCTGTGTTTCTGTCATTGCAATTCCCTGTGTATGCCTGTCTGCACTAATGTGTTCAATTAATATGCAGCTATAAACACCATTCTTAAGACTGTTAGTGTGTTAAACTACAATCTCTGTTTGTTAGAAGCCCTGTTTTAAAACCAGTGTAGACACTTGATTATGTAAAAAAAATGTATATCTTGCGGTAAAATGATTCTCCTGGTTCATAAAACGCCTTTACAGCTCTATTGTAAACTCAATCATCTTGTCCATGTTGGGATCCTGTAGGAATGGCGACTTGATACACTGAGCTGATTGGTCAGTATTGCTGTTGAAGAGTTTAGATCTGATCCTCTGTGCAGCATAACCATTATACCAGAAAACTCAAACACAGATCATCTTGCTTCATGATGCAGGCCCCAAGGGCCCTCAGGTTGTAGATGATGACGAACAAACCTGAGATGGTGGACGTGGCAGCTCTCCACATGTGAAACCAGAAGTATGGACCCCAGGTCAACTTTGACTGAAACACACAAAGGCACAGTCAAGAGGACATTTTTGTGTAATGGACAGGCTCCTTATTTGAATATTTTGCAGAAAACACACAGTCCTTGTCTCTCTCACACAAACTGCCTTCCCCCCATCATTTCCCTTGTCCTCGTTTAGCTTCTTCTACCCACACGCACAAATTCCCCCGTCCCTTCACCGTTCCTCACCCTCACCGCATCGACTGGGGAGGACAGCAGGTCTTTCCTCTCTGGCTCCTTTTCCTCTCCCTCCTCCTCGTCCGTGCTGTACTCCTCCATGGTCTCCCCGCTGGAGAAATGGATAATCCTGCGAGGAACCTTCTCCCTCTGCTGCTGTTCCTCTCTCTTGTCCAGCTCCCCCAGCTCCACACTCTCAAAGTCTTTACCGGGGTGAGGGCTCTGACTCTGGGAAGACACCACAAAAAAAAAAAGATAGACAGCATGCCTTATTATGGGGCTGTGAAATTTCTAAATGAGAGAAATCAAGGTGGGATAAAACGGTTTTTCAAGGCTTGGCATGACAGTGTTCCCAATCCTAGTGTAATATCATTACTAACCGCACAGACATTATTAGCCACGGTGTGTAAACAAAACGCTAACGAGAAAATGTGGTGACTGTTAAAGAGAAAGCTGTTTACCGACCTGCTCCACATCCATGGTCTGTCCTATCGACACATTAACGTTAGTGAGATACAGTGATATATCGGCCATTGTCGCCGTCTTCTTTGTACCTCTGGATGCTGCGTCTACAACGACGCCTCTCCTCCGCACCGCCAGACCCGGAAGTGCCGTGTATCCCCCCCCCGTACGTAACGTACTCGTTTTGTTGTAGGCTATTTCAAACCATAATTTTTAATGAGTACGTTTCACGTACACAAAACGAGTCTTTTTGTTGTTTCAAAAATATCCCAAATATATTGCTAATGTTGTTAATTATGGGTTTATATTTGGAGCATAAACCATAAGAAAAGTCCACCTTGTCATGGACATATTACATTACTGGGAAATACATTTTTATTGCATTATTAAGATGCAAATTATATTTTCTGAAAGGTATGATGTCCTTTAAACAGGGTAATTTGTTTTCTTTCAAATTAAAACAATACTCAAAATAATTTTAAATGTTTTTAAAGAAACTCATACAATTTGCACATTTTTTGTTATCTGGAGAAAACTGTGATATTGTGATATTTGCATGCAGTTTTTTATTTAGCCTATCTCCAATTTAGCTATTACAGTTTTTCTCACTCGCTTTGATACATTTCTCGAATCATCCCTAACATTTGCAAAACATTAAGTGCATTTCTCGAAACAGATCGAACAAACAGCACAACACAGTGGATTACCTGCAAAAGCCCATAACTTTCTCAAAATCCTTCTATCTCTAGTCTAGCTCTCAAAAGCAAATCTTTATGTCATTGAACATGTCATTGCATCGGAAGTCCTTGTGTCCTTGTTTACGAACAAGATAGTCAAAATCATGTCAAAAGTCATGTCAAAAGTCATGTTATCGATATAACAGTGTATTCTGTACGTTTTTTCTGATGTAAACTATGGCTAATGTTTTGATGACAATGATTGAAAATGCACAGAGTTACACTTTTTCAATTAGTCAGATCAATTTCAACAGTATAAAGTTATACATTGCAAGAGATTGGACAGGATTCAGTTACATTTTTACTGTTCCTACTATAATTTGTTGACAGACCATGTCATTGTGATACAGAAAAGAAAAAGAAAGGACTGGCTGGATAGCACGACGGTAGAAATGATGAAATTAGAAATGTAAGCATGTGAAACAGTCCTTAGGCTGATGTTCCTGCCTGTCAGGTCACAGATTCTCATCCACATCACAACATATATCTTCATCAATTACAGTAAGGACACATTTACAAAAAAAAAAAGTCTAATAGACGTCTATAGAAAATATGATTGACAGATATAGACTATCTCTCTCTCTCTCTCTCTTTGTATTTATATATATATAGACAAACACATATACATCTACTGGCGTATTTTATACATTGCACTATTGATGGCTCACTGTGTATTGTTACTGTTCACTGTGTATGGTATTGTGTGTATCAGGTGAATGGTCTGAGGACTGTGCTACTGTAGTATGTTGTGATTTGTTGTTGTCTATTCTTATTTTGTTTATGCACCATGGTCTGTGCGAAACAACATTTCGTTCAGCCAAATACTTGAATGTGGAGAGTGGCAATAAAGTTAGACTTTATTTAACTTTAATTTTGACAACGTGTTCAGCCATTTTGCATGTAGTGACTTATGCAATGAACTTGTGCCTAGATGTTTTGGTGGGTAAGACTATTCAACAGAGACTGGTATAATACATTGTGATCAGCATGACATAACCAATTGATAATGTAGGAAACAGCAGACAACTGGACATAATCATTTGCATCAGTATGTCAAAGAATTTGCAATTTGTTAATAAGAATGAGAAATTGTTCTTATGATGTGAGCAAGTGATGAGATGATGTAGAGGTTGAACAAGCAGTTTCAAGAATTTTAATTCTGATCTGAGAAATGCACCAAAGCAACGGAGAAAAACTATCAACACAATGGATAATATATGGTATGATTGAATTATTATTTTAATTATTATTAATAATAATTATTTATTTTTAAGATGACAGGGTGGACACACAAAGCAGAACACACAAAGCATGACATAATATGAAAATTAAACAGGGACAATGACAGGGTGGACATTTTGGGACAGGATAGGGTGGACATTTTAAGCTTCAGTTACAATTTTAACATACAACAAATTGTGACCTAACTTAGCTAGTGTGGTTGTAGAAGATAATTTGGTTTAGTTAAACAAACATACTTTGAACATCTTGTATTCTAATCACTTCTGGCAGGGTGGACATGTTAAGCTTTGGCAAAACAAGTAAGCAAACTCATACAAAGTATATTTGTCAACCGAAAAGTCAGAAAATCTCCCAGCTCAGCCACTGACTTTACCACAACTGAAGAGAAAGAAAAACTGTGACGGAATACCCAATATGACAGGGTGGACAACCTTTTAAGGGATACTGGAGAAACTCTTATAAAATATGTAATTTATTACCAAATCATCAATGCAGTCAAGTTAAGTAATCTCTTATAAAACAAAATGTTACTATGAAAACAAAATTTAAATATATTATGATTTGACTATATTTACTCTTATTGAAAGTCAGTAAGCTATGCATGGGAGAGCAAAATACTACACATCCTCATTTACAAAACTAAACAAAATCTAGGAAATGTATCCAAAGAGACAGGTAAAGCTTTTTTATGAACATATAACATAGCCCAATATAAAAAAAAACTTCCAAAGTAATTTTTGTGTTAAATTAACATGGATAATTAATGATTTATGCACAGGACACCAAAACACACTCAGTGATACAGTGATATTGACCCTAAATGTGTGAAGCTTACCTACTTTAGGCTACTGTATCAAGAGTTATTTGGTAAGTCCTCATTAAATCCTGTCGTTTGAGGAGGGATTGTTTAGCACTTATTTATGTTTTAATGTAAAGTTTGTCTGTCCAGTAACACCCCTTACATTATTGCTAAATAATAGACTGATAATGACCTATATTTTGTCAGGTTTAACAATGGAAACTTACTACTAATGGTTACTTTAATTTTGTTTTTTACATTTCTATGATAATTATTGGAAGACTTGTTTTAATTCTTCTTTTACTTTATTTTATTGCTTTTAGTACAATATAAGTATTTTTATGCATTAAAATGTTTTATACATTTTAATACATATTATATTAGGAAGACAAAAGCATAAAATATAGTAGAAAAACCAAAATTTAGATTACTGAACCGGATTAGGTTTAAATGAAGGTAAATCTATGTGTCATCTATGGATGTACTGTACAGGTACAAAAGTCAAGGGGCCCCAAATGTCTTGTTTCTGTTTACAGTTTTTCTCACTTTGATACATTGCACAAATCATCCTTAACATTTGCAAACCAGTGAGTGCATTTCTCGAAACAGATCGTACAAACAGCACTACACAGTGGATCACCTGCAAAAGCTCTTAACTTGCTTAATATGCTTAAAAGTAAATGTTTTTGTCAGTGAACATGTCAGTGCCATCAAGTCCTTGTGTCACTGTTTACAAACAAGACAGTCAAAATACTTAGCCATATTGGTAATATAACAGCATACTCTGTGTTTTCAGATGTAAACTATACTAAGGTTTGGATGACAATGATGGAAAATGCACAAGGCTGCACTTTTTCCGTATGGCAAAGGCCTATATCAATTTCAACAGTACAAAGATGAATTCCAAGAGATTAGACAGGATTCACAGATTTGTTTTTACTGTTTGTTGACAGAGCATGTCATTGTGATACAGAAAAGAAAAAGACAAGACTGCATAGCACAATGGAAAACAAATTACAAAATTAGAAATGTGAACATGGGAAACTTTCCTTAGGCTGACGTTCCTGTCTGTAAAGTGACATTAACATTTCTTGTGGGAAAGTCACGTCGCTCAGTCAAGATTAGGGCTGCTCACTATTACATTTTTTAAATCTTGATCCGGTAATATTGAGTATTTGCTTATAGTGAGTCTGATATTCATTTAATGTGTCTCTGATAGTTAAGTGGCCTTTTATGCTCGCACAATTCATCCATTGCTTTCAGCTTTACACTGGTGAAACATAACCAGGTACTTTTACTTATGTAACGGAAAACTACCTCAAAACAGTACTCGTACTTGAATGTTTTCATCTTATGCAACTTTATACTTCTACTCCACTACATTTGAGGGGTAAGTATTGTACTTTTACTTCATTACATTTATCAGACACCTATACTTGCTATAGTTATTTTGCAGAATATTTTTTTAATGTTCAGTGAAATAAAACTTGTCATCATCATTAATTTTTTATGTTCCTATTAAATGTTTTTTATTTTTGCAAAATAATATCTTTAAAGAAATTTATAAAATTGACTTTTAGACTATATGATTCCAGTGTGTCTGCATGTTTGTAGAATGTTAAATAAATTTGTTTGTTTTAAACATTCTTAATGCAGAACAAGATTTTTAGGACTCAATTATTGACTACATAAGACAGAAGTGTTTGCAGATTTAACAGCCCACCACTGTGTATTCGTTCAAATCAGCTCCACTTCGGCCAACTACAATAAAAATGCAGCTCACCCATCAATTCTACAATCTATATAACACTATTAAAGGGGCCGCTTGGCATAACAAGTACTTTTACTTTTGTTACTTTAGGTGCATTTTACAGAATATCTGTACCTTGACTTCAGTAAGATTTTGACTTGTAAGGGAGTACTTTTACATATATTACTACTTTACAGAGGTAAAGAACCTGAATGTTTCATCAAGTCAAGTAGAAAGCTTATGAAAACTGAATTTACTTTTCAACACCGCTAGATGTCAGTAGAGGTCCATCTAACATAGAAATGAACTCCTCTGAGGCAGCTGCGTGTCCCTGAGTGGGCAGTGAATTCTTTGGGTCTGAATCCTGAGTTATGCAGATTGCCAGCAGAAACCATTAGATCTGTTCATTCTATTAACAATTATAACTCTTCAGTTAGCTGCTCTCACCCAGGAGAGCAGAAAAGTAAGTAAGGAGTAATTTACTGGAGGCTACAAACTGCTCAATCTCAGACCTATGATGTCATCATGTTAAAGCTGGAGTCTCCCCATGAAAAATGCATGTCAGCCTCATTTTGTGGCTTTACACAAATGTTAGCTTGAGGTGCATCAGGAAATCAG